CGAAGATCCATATGTCTCCATCAAAAACTGCAGGGTATAGGCTTTTCATTTGTCGGTAGGCAGCGACACCAAATGTAACAACAGAAGACAAGGGCCAGGCAACAGATCGTTTTATTATGAAAATCAACACGTATTTATACATATTTCAGACAACATTATTATAGACAAGCGCAGTCATCTGATTGGTTGTTTAGGTAGACAAACGCAGGCTTCTGATTGGTTGTTTCGGGATTCCTTGACAAACAGAGTTCTCTATCTGCGAATCATATTTTGCCACGTTAACTTTGCTGTGATTGGTTGTTGACTCAGCCTTGTTCACGGCCCATATTAGTGACCTAGACCTTAACGTAGATTAATGCCAACCAATCGGCTAGCAGCCTGCTCTCACCACACCACCACTACCAACAACATCAACAACGATAACCACAGCCAATCCACATGACCACTCTACACCTGACAACACAACACAACACAAAGCAAATCAACACCCATCGTCATCTATCGTGTCTCACCAAACCCTCAGCTCGACCGACACTCACGGTACTATTGTGAAAAACACAATCTTCTTTCGCATTTCTTCCTTGAGACAACGACACCACAAATAGGCTCATTTGTCTCTACACACAGAAATGCAAACACCACAACACACTCTCACTCACTCCATCAATAATCCAACACTCTCTCGCACTCAACCACCATCATCAACAACAACAACGACACCAAAACACAAACATACATACACGTCACAAAACTCAAAAACAATCCCTCACCCCCCCCCACACACACACACTCTAAACTCACCTCGAGTAAATCAATCACCATACATACCAATCACTTCTCTACTCTACTCTACTCTACTCAACACCACAACACACCACACCACACCATACCAAAACATATCACCATAAGTTATCACATACAACATTCAGTAGACCGACAGAAAAAGACACAACAAGCAACCACAGAAGCAACAAAATACACCCATCTCAGTACATCCATCCATCGTGTCGCACGGATCCTGTTGCCTGTCCCACTCACGTAGAGACAGCCAGTACATCACATGCTGGCTTCAACCACTCACTCAATATAGGATGTGCTTCACAACAGGTCTCCAATCAGACACCTGTATGCGACAACATCCAAATACATCAACTCACTCAGTTGCATACTCTTCCACTCAGCATCACACCCTCCACCATCTCTCTTCCTCAATATCACTCTTTCATGCAAAATCACACACACACACACACCAGCTCACGCACCAAAACCAACACTCATACATGCAACACCTCATACTCACTCACTCACTCACTCACTTCACACCAATCAACACTCCCACCACTCCGACAGTGCACGCTTGTAGCTAGTGTGAAATACCACAGCACATCAGGTGCAGCAGTTGGTTGAATAGCCTCAATCAATCAATCAATTTTTTTAGGATACCTTAAGCATACTTGGTGCAAACACCACCAAATACAACTCGATATCCACCACACTCCAAAAACACTCAGTCACACACCACATCGCCAACACCTACCTTATAACACACAACCCCATACAACAACACACATCATTCAGACAAAAACGGCTGACAACAAACTCAACAATCACATCACACGCATTACTCCACTCCACATCAAAAAAACTAAAAAGCGAATAATACTACTAATAATAGTGAAAATAATAATAATAATAATAATACTCTCACCAATTCTTGCTGTTCACCGGGGAAAGACAGTGCGATTCAGCCAAATGCCAGTCGGCGATAGATAACACAAAGACATGCATGCATTTCAGCTGTCACACCGCTTCGCTCCCCTTCACACCACCATCACTATCACCAACAGGAACACAATCAAGTTAATCAATCAATCAATTAGTTAGTTAGTTATCTATTTATCTATTCATCAAGTATACCAACACACACCGGCGGCTCATCTATCTCTACATCTATCTATCTACAAATTCACGCTTACAATGCACAACAACATCAATCCTCAACACTCACGCACGCACGCCCTCACTCACTCACTCACTCCATCACCCATCATCAACAATTGTCAGTCAACCCAAACTACTATCAATTCTACACACATCACAAAAGAAGACAAACAAACACCACTCCAAATAATCTCATCACTCATAATACCCAGAAGCTATCAATCAATCAATCATCACACTCACCACTATTATCACGATCAAACACCACACCACCACTCACTTACATCTACCCGCTTTCATCCATCTCTCACCACTACCACCAACCACCTACCACCTACTAACTACTAAAGTATAACATAAGACAAACCACCTCGGTTGTCGCAGAGCACAGCACGATCGATCAATCAATCAATCAAACGCCTAAATCTGCACTACCCATTTAGCATCATATGGAGCCCAGTCAACACAGTCGAATGGGCGCTGGTCCAGATGCACCTACGCTCCTCCACAAAATAATCCAATACACACACAGACACCCGACCAATAGGTGTCGCCCACAACATACAACACACAATAACAACCACAATCACAACACCACCACCACCACTACCAACAACAACAACAACATCAACAACGATAACCACAGCCAATCCACATGACCACTCTACACCTGACAACACAACACAACACAAAGCAAATCAACACCCATCGTCATCTATCGTGTCTCACCAAACCCTCAGCTCGACCGACACTCACGGTACTATTGTGAAAAACACAATCTTCTTTCGCATTTCTTCCTTGAGACAACGACACCACAAATAGGCTCATTTGTCTCTACACACAGAAATGCAAACACCACAACACACTCTCACTCACTCCATCAATAATCCAACACTCTCTCGCACTCAACCACCATCATCAACAACAACAACGACACCAAAACACAAACATACATACACGTCACAAAACTCAAAAACAATCCCTCACCCCCCCCACACACACACACACTCTAAACTCACCTCGAGTAAATCAATCACCATACATACCAATCACTTCTCTACTCTACTCTACTCTACTCAACACCACAACACACCACACCACACCACAATACCAAAACATATCACCATAAGTTATCACATACAACATTCAGTAGACCGACAGAAAAAGACACAACAAGCAACCACAGAAGCAACAAAATACACCCATCTCAGTACATCCATCCATCGTGTCGCACGGATCCTGTTGCCTGTCCCACTCACGTAGAGACAGCCAGTACATCACATGCTGGCTTCAACCACTCACTCAATATAGGATGTGCTTCACAACAGGTCTCCAATCAGACACCTGTATGCGACAACATCCAAATACATCAACTCACTCAGTTGCATACTCTTCCACTCAGCATCACACCCTCCACCATCTCTCTTCCTCAATATCACTCTTTCATGCAAAATCACACACACACACACACACACACCAGCTCACGCACCAAAACCAACACTCATACATGCAACACCTCATACTCACTCACTCACTCACTTCACACCAATCAACACTCCCACCACTCCGACAGTGCACGCTTGTAGCTAGTGTGAAATACCACAGCACATCAGGTGCAGCAGTTGGTTGAATAGCCTCAATCAATCAATCAATCAATTTAGGATACCTTAAGCATACTTGGTGCAAACACCACCAAATACAACTCGATATCCACCACACTCCAAAAACACTCAGTCACACACCACATCGCCAACACCTACCTTATAACACACAACCCCATACAACAACACACATCATTCAGACAAAAACGGCTGACAACAAACTCAACAATCACATCACACGCATTACTCCACTCCACATCAAAAAAACTAAAAAGCGAATAATACTACTAATAATAGTGAAAATAATAATAATAATAATAATACTCTCACCAATTCTTGCTGTTCACCGGGGAAAGACAGTGCGATTCAGCCAAATGCCAGTCGGCGATAGATAACACAAAGACATGCATGCATTTCAGCTGTCACACCGCTTCGCTCCCCTTCACACCACCATCACTATCACCAACAGGAACACAATCAAGTTAATCAATCAATCAATTAGTTAGTTAGTTATCTATTTATCTATTCATCAAGTATACCAACACACACCGGCGGCTCATCTATCTCTACATCTATCTATCTACAAATTCACGCTTACAATGCACAACAACATCAATCCTCAACACTCACGCACGCACGCCCTCACTCACTCACTCACTCCATCACCCATCATCAACAATTGTCAGTCAACCCAAACTACTATCAATTCTACACACATCACAAAAGAAGACAAACAAACACCACTCCAAATAATCTCATCACTCATAATACCCAGAAGCTATCAATCAATCAATCATCACACTCACCACTATTATCACGATCAAACACCACACCACCACTCACTTACATCTACCCGCTTTCATCCATCTCTCACCACTACCACCAACCACCTACCACCTACTAACTACTAAAGTATAACATAAGACAAACCACCTCGGTTGTCGCAGAGCACAGCACGATCGATCAATCAATCAATCAAACGCCTAAATCTGCACTACCCATTTAGCATCATATGGAGCCCAGTCAACACAGTCGAATGGGCGCTGGTCCAGATGCACCTACGCTCCTCCACAAAATAATCCAATACACACACAGACACCCGACCAATAGGTGTCGCCCACAACATACAACACACAATAACAACCACAATCACAACACCACCACCACTGTAACAACAGAAGACAAGGGCCAGGCAACAGATCGTTTTATTATGAAAATCAACACGTATTTATACATATTTCAGACAACATTATTATAGACAAGCGCAGTCATCTGATTGGTTGTTTAGGTAGACAAACGCAGGCTTCTGATTGGTTGTTTCGGGATTCCTTGACAAACAGAGTTCTCTATCTGCGAATCATATTTTGCCACGTTAACTTTGCTGTGATTGGTTGTTGACTCAGCCTTGTTCACGGCCCATATTAGTGACCTAGACCTTAACGTAGATTAATGCCAACCAATCGGCTAGCAGCCTGCTCTCACCACACTCGTCCCCCCGTCAAATACGTGCGACTGAAGTCGGCTTGATCTACTTGGTGCAGGCGTCATCGTTGGCTTGTCTCGCTGTATCCATTTCTGGAGCTCGCTGACGTTCACGCGCCTCTCATTGTTCGCCATTGCGACTGTGTCTGCGTAACCCCATCTCGAAGTGACCATATATGGTCCTTCCCACTTTGGAAACTGTTTGCCTGACCCTGTCGAACATTCGTCCATACTTCGGCCCACACCTTCATATGCTGCTTTCGCCCGACCTCCCAGCAGCGTCTCAAGTAGCAGCTCCATCGCTGACAGATCTTGAACGCCACTCAACTGCGCAGAAGCCTTGAAGTCCTGCCCGAAGATCCATATGTCTCCATCAAAAACTGCAGGGTATAGGCTTTTCATTTGTCGGTAGGCAGCGACACCAAATGTAACAACAGAAGACAAGGGCCAGGCAACAGATCGTTTTATTATGAAAATCAACACGTATTTATACATATTTCAGACAACATTATTATAGACAAGCGCAGTCATCTGATTGGTTGTTTAGGTAGACAAACGCAGGCTTCTGATTGGTTGTTTCGGGATTCCTTGACAAACAGAGTTCTCTATCTGCGAATCATATTTTGCCACGTTAACTTTGCTGTGATTGGTTGTTGACTCAGCCTTGTTCACGGCCCATATTAGTGACCTAGACCTTAACGTAGATTAGTGCCAACCAATCGGCTAGCAGCCTGCTCTCACCACACTCGTCCCCCCGTCAAATACGTGCGACTGAAGTCGGCTTGATCTACTTGGTGCAGGCGTCATCGTTGGCTTGTCTCGCTGTATCCATTTCTGGAGCTCGCTGACGTTCACGCGCCTCTCATTGTTCGCCATTGCGACTGTGTCTGCGTAACCCCATCTCGAAGTGACCATATATGGTCCTTCCCACTTTGGAAACTGTTTGCCTGACCCTGTCGAACATTCGTCCATACTTCGGCCCACACCTTCATATGCTGCTTTCGCCCGACCTCCCAGCAGCGTCTCAAGTAGCAGCTCCATCGCTGACAGATCTTGAACGCCACTCAACTGCGCAGAAGCCTTGAAGTCCTGCCCGAAGATCCATATGTCTCCATCAAAAACTGCAGGGTATAGGCTTTTCATTTGTCGGTAGGCAGCGACACCAAATGTAACAACAGAAGACAAGGGCCAGGCAACAGATCGTTTTATTATGAAAATCAACACGTATTTATACATATTTCAGACAACATTATTATAGACAAGCGCAGTCATCTGATTGGTTGTTTAGGTAGACAAACGCAGGCTTCTGATTGGTTGTTTCGGGATTCCTTGACAAACAGAGTTCTCTATCTGCGAATCATATTTTGCCACGTTAACTTTGCTGTGATTGGTTGTTGACTCAGCCTTGTTCACGGCCCATATTAGTGACCTAGACCTTAACGTAGATTAGTGCCAACCAATCGGCTAGCAGCCTGCTCTCACCACACCACCACTACCAACAACATCAACAACGATAACCACAGCCAATCCACATGACCACTCTACACCTGACAACACAACACAACACAACACAAAGCAAATCAACACCCATCGTCATCTATCGTGTCTCACCAAACCCTCAGCTCGACCGACACTCACGGTACTATTGTGAAAAACACAATCTTCTTTCGCATTTCTTCCTTGAGACAACGACACCACAAATAGGCTCATTTGTCTCTACACACAGAAATGCAAACACCACAACACACTCTCACTCACTCCATCAATAATCCAACACTCTCTCGCACTCAACCACCATCATCAACAACAACAACGACACCAAAACACAAACATACATACACGTCACAAAACTCAAAAACAATCCCTCACCCCCCCCCACACACACACACTCTAAACTCACCTCGAGTAAATCAATCACCATACATACCAATCACTTCTCTACTCTACTCTACTCTACTCAACACCACAACACACCACACCACACCATACCAAAACATATCACCATAAGTTATCACATACAACATTCAGTAGACCGACAGAAAAAGACACAACAAGCAACCACAGAAGCAACAAAATACACCCATCTCAGTACATCCATCCATCGTGTCGCACGGATCCTGTTGCCTGTCCCACTCACGTAGAGACAGCCAGTACATCACATGCTGGCTTCAACCACTCACTCAATATAGGATGTGCTTCACAACAGGTCTCCAATCAGACACCTGTATGCGACAACATCCAAATACATCAACTCACTCAGTTGCATACTCTTCCACTCAGCATCACACCCTCCACCATCTCTCTTCCTCAATATCACTCTTTCATGCAAAATCACACACACACACACACACACACCAGCTCACGCACCAAAACCAACACTCATACATGCAACACCTCATACTCACTCACTCACTCACTTCACACCAATCAACACTCCCACCACTCCGACAGTGCACGCTTGTAGCTAGTGTGAAATACCACAGCACATCAGGTGCAGCAGTTGGTTGAATAGCCTCAATCAATCAATCAATTTAGGATACCTTAAGCATACTTGGTGCAAACACCACCAAATACAACTCGATATCCACCACACTCCAAAAACACTCAGTCACACACCACATCGCCAACACCTACCTTATAACACACAACCCCATACAACAACACACATCATTCAGACAAAAACGGCTGACAACAAACTCAACAATCACATCACACGCATTACTCCACTCCACATCAAAAAAACTAAAAAGCGAATAATACTACTAATAATAGTGAAAATAATAATAATAATAATAATACTCTCACCAATTCTTGCTGTTCACCGGGGAAAGACAGTGCGATTCAGCCAAATGCCAGTCGGCGATAGATAACACAAAGACATGCATGCATTTCAGCTGTCACACCGCTTCGCTCCCCTTCACACCACCATCACTATCACCAACAGGAACACAATCAAGTTAATCAATCAATCAATTAGTTAGTTAGTTATCTATTTATCTATTCATCAAGTATACCAACACACACCGGCGGCTCATCTATCTCTACATCTATCTATCTACAAATTCACGCTTACAATGCACAACAACATCAATCCTCAACACTCACGCACGCACGCCCTCACTCACTCACTCACTCCATCACCCATCATCAACAATTGTCAGTCAACCCAAACTACTATCAATTCTACACACATCACAAAAGAAGACAAACAAACACCACTCCAAATAATCTCATCACTCATAATACCCAGAAGCTATCAATCAATCAATCATCACACTCACCACTATTATCACGATCAAACACCACACCACCACTCACTTACATCTACCCGCTTTCATCCATCTCTCACCACTACCACCAACCACCTACCACCTACTAACTACTAAAGTATAACATAAGACAAACCACCTCGGTTGTCGCAGAGCACAGCACGATCGATCAATCAATCAATCAAACGCCTAAATCTGCACTACCCATTTAGCATCATATGGAGCCCAGTCAACACAGTCGAATGGGCGCTGGTCCAGATGCACCTACGCTCCTCCACAAAATAATCCAATACACACACAGACACCCGACCAATAGGTGTCGCCCACAACATACAACACACAATAACAACCACAATCACAACACCACCACCACCACTACCAACAACAACAACATCAACAACGATAACCACAGCCAATCCACATGACCACTCTACACCTGACAACACAACACAACACAACACAAAGCAAATCAACACCCATCGTCATCTATCGTGTCTCACCAAACCCTCAGCTCGACCGACACTCACGGTACTATTGTGAAAAACACAATCTTCTTTCGCATTTCTTCCTTGAGACAACGACACCACAAATAGGCTCATTTGTCTCTACACACAGAAATGCAAACACCACAACACACTCTCACTCACTCCATCAATAATCCAACACTCTCTCGCACTCAACCACCATCATCAACAACAACAACGACACCAAAACACAAACATACATACACGTCACAAAACTCAAAAACAATCCCTCACCCCCCCCACACACACACACACTCTAAACTCACCTCGAGTAAATCAATCACCATACATACCAATCACTTCTCTACTCTACTCTACTCTACTCAACACCACAACACACCACACCACACCATACCAAAACATATCACCATAAGTTATCACATACAACATTCAGTAGACCGACAGAAAAAGACACAACAAGCAACCACAGAAGCAACAAAATACACCCATCTCAGTACATCCATCCATCGTGTCGCACGGATCCTGTTGCCTGTCCCACTCACGTAGAGACAGCCAGTACATCACATGCTGGCTTCAACCACTCACTCAATATAGGATGTGCTTCACAACAGGTCTCCAATCAGACACCTGTATGCGACAACATCCAAATACATCAACTCACTCAGTTGCATACTCTTCCACTCAGCATCACACCCTCCACCATCTCTCTTCCTCAATATCACTCTTTCATGCAAAATCACACACACACACACACACACACCAGCTCACGCACCAAAACCAACACTCATACATGCAACACCTCATACTCACTCACTCACTCACTTCACACCAATCAACACTCCCACCACTCCGACAGTGCACGCTTGTAGCTAGTGTGAAATACCACAGCACATCAGGTGCAGCAGTTGGTTGAATAGCCTCAATCAATCAATCAATTTAGGATACCTTAAGCATACTTGGTGCAAACACCACCAAATACAACTCGATATCCACCACACTCCAAAAACACTCAGTCACACACCACATCGCCAACACCTACCTTATAACACACAACCCCATACAACAACACACATCATTCAGACAAAAACGGCTGACAACAAACTCAACAATCACATCACACGCATTACTCCACTCCACATCAAAAAAACTAAAAAGCGAATAATACTACTAATAATAGTGAAAATAATAATAATAATAATAATACTCTCACCAATTCTTGCTGTTCACCGGGGAAAGACAGTGCGATTCAGCCAAATGCCAGTCGGCGATAGATAACACAAAGACATGCATGCATTTCAGCTGTCACACCGCTTCGCTCCCCTTCACACCACCATCACTATCACCAACAGGAACACAATCAAGTTAATCAATCAATCAATTAGTTAGTTAGTTATCTATTTATCTATTCATCAAGTATACCAACACACACCGGCGGCTCATCTATCTCTACATCTATCTATCTACAAATTCACGCTTACAATGCACAACAACATCAATCCTCAACACTCACGCACGCACGCCCTCACTCACTCACTCACTCCATCACCCATCATCAACAATTGTCAGTCAACCCAAACTACTATCAATTCTACACACATCACAAAAGAAGACAAACAAACACCACTCCAAATAATCTCATCACTCATAATACCCAGAAGCTATCAATCAATCAATCATCACACTCACCACTATTATCACGATCAAACACCACACCACCACTCACTTACATCTACCCGCTTTCATCCATCTCTCACCACTACCACCAACCACCTACCACCTACTAACTACTAAAGTATAACATAAGACAAACCACCTCGGTTGTCGCAGAGCACAGCACGATCGATCAATCAATCAATCAAACGCCTAAATCTGCACTACCCATTTAGCATCATATGGAGCCCAGTCAACACAGTCGAATGGGCGCTGGTCCAGATGCACCTACGCTCCTCCACAAAATAATCCAATACACACACAGACACCCGACCAATAGGTGTCGCCCACAACATACAACACACAATAACAACCACAATCACAACACCACCACCACTGTAACAACAGAAGACAAGGGCCAGGCAACAGATCGTTTTATTATGAAAATCAACACGTATTTATACATATTTCAGACAACATTATTATAGACAAGCGCAGTCATCTGATTGGTTGTTTAGGTAGACAAACGCAGGCTTCTGATTGGTTGTTTCGGGATTCCTTGACAAACAGAGTTCTCTATCTGCGAATCATATTTTGCCACGTTAACTTTGCTGTGATTGGTTGTTGACTCAGCCTTGTTCACGGCCCATATTAGTGACCTAGACCTTAACGTAGATTAATGCCAACCAATCGGCTAGCAGCCTGCTCTCACCACACTCGTCCCCCCGTCAAATACGTGCGACTGAAGTCGGCTTGATCTACTTGGTGCAGGCGTCATCGTTGGCTTGTCTCGCTGTATCCATTTCTGGAGCTCGCTGACGTTCACGCGCCTCTCATTGTTC